ACATAAAACAATTGATCTGTTCAACATAAATGAATTTTACTTCATCAAGCATGGATATGAAAAGACATTAATAATCTAACAAAATAAAACGTGAATAGAAGAGAAACCCCATGACGTTAAATGGCAAGCGATCTCAATACATGGAACATAGATAATTTTAGAGTCCGATATAATGCGCATTCTCCCGACAAACCATAGAAAAAATATCTGCTTTGAGCTTTTGATTCATGTCGAGTGCACATTCATTTTGGTCAATACTTGGCAGTATGTAAAGAAAATGGGAATTATCCTGATGGGTAATCTATTTATATATCTATAGCTGGGCTGAAGCCCAACAAATGTGCAACAAGTTTTTAGAAAAATATATTTATTCTAAAAGGAAATGCACAAATATTCACTGGAAATCGCCAATATAATTAAAATGCTCGAAATGTTTAGCAAATACGGCAAACTATTCTGTTTATTAGTTAATTGGTCACAAAACATTTTCCAAACAAACAAAATCACTTGACTTTAAAATATCTTCAGTTTTATTCTGTCATATATTTCTTAAAATCTTAAATTAAGCCCAGGTATAAATGCATCAATTCAATTATGAATTTTCCTCAACATCAACTTGACAAAACGTACTGCTCTTCAGAAAGTATTAACTAATTTCAAGTTTGCTTATATAAATGTAATGTAATCTGATCTTGTAATACTTTAATAATAAACAAGAGACTTGTTTCTTTTAATGCTCTGCTGATTTCATGTTTGTTTTTGGTCAGAATTACAACTGAATGGAGTCTAAATGCTCCTAGCTCATGTAAAGTTCCAAACAACAATGAAACAAGGTAATAAACGTAGATTTTTAACAAGAAAACTTTGGGCTTGACGATGCCCCACACTCACTTACAAGCTTCTTTGTGACAGAGTACAAAATAACAATGCGTCTATCAGGCTATTTGACATCCTTTAGTACAAACATTAGACTGATCAATAAACAGACTAATCAGAGACTCATCGTAACAAACTGAGTGATTTCATGTCTCTCGAACTTCATTTTAGCAAAATGATCTAACTTGTAAGTTACCTTAGGCCAAATAAAGTTCATGCCTTGTTTCCAGGGCACATTTGACTCAAATATAAAATAAGGAGGTATAATTTTATCCCATGTAAGGGAAGGTTTTTTTCTTTGATAAAATATTTAAGAACATATCTGTTATAAAGGAAATGACAGACATAAAATTTAAATGAAAAAAACCCAAAAACTTTTGATCTTCCAAATCAGTCTCAAACCAATCTATAATATTTTAAAATTTTAAAATTTTACCTTGCCTCTTTTTCTTATTTTCAATAAAATAAGGTGGTGCAATGGATTATAAGTTAAGGGGGGCCTGATACACCAGATTTTTTGTACATCCAAGTTTGTAAATTGTGTGTAAGAATTAGAATTTAGATCAATTTAACGGTAGTAGACCTGTTAGTCATGTAAGGTTTAAGTTAGATGTCCTATTTCATGAATCAATGTTGAAGTTTCTTTTTGCAGACATCTATGTACTTCCACACAAAATAGAAAGGCAATGATACTGCTTATGTAATTTTCTATGCTACGTTCATAATTCTATAGAATTCAGATTCATGATCTATTTGTGTTTCTACAACGAGCAACAAATTGAGATTGGAAAGAAAAAAAATGTTTGTATTAACATCCCCAGCAGCTAAGTTAGCACCATAGAAAGACACTTGACATCATATATGTAGTCTCACACACAAAACCTGCACAATGTCTCGAGAAAACAAGATAGTTACCATTACAATAACAACCATCATGGACACTTCACCACACTACACAGGAACGATGAAAATCTCAACACCATTTTCATGTTTCAAGTATACAAGCCTTCTCTGAGAGTGTTACCGTAGATAAGTATTTCAAAATGTTTAAGTATACATGAAAAAGATGGTCATATAATCAAAATAAATTAATGTGTAAAAAACGGAAAGTGCAAATCCCAACAACTATTATCGTTTTGACTAACATTCTTACCGATACTAAACGATGCTAGTTTTCGGAATAAAAAGTCAACTGTGCGTAAGGTGTTGCAGTTTTATGGAAAGTCAAGCATGGTTCCAATGTACACATATTTCTCACTTAATTATTTCAAATAGTGCAACAACAAATCAACTTTCATTTTTTTCTCTGTATACGACAGTCTGCACATGTAAAGCCATATAGAAAACTGTTTATAGTGCACTCTACAAAGCAGCAAATTCAAAGTCTGACACAGAAATCTGAAGCACACATGCCTAGCCATGGTTCAGCTATCCAAATAGATAAATGAGACATGAAAACATTTTTTTTTTAAATGATGAATTACATATGTGAATTTTTACAATTCTTTCAACAAGAATGAAATGAAAATAAGACAATAATATTTTCATAATAGATTTCTTTATTCTACAAAATGCAGATTTTTGTTTTCTGTTACAACAGATTCACAAATTTTGCTTGTATTTTTAAAAGTAAATAATTTGTAAAAAACTTTTAAATAGCATTAAAATTTGACTTTTGAAAATAGCCAACTTTGAAATAATTAAAAAAATTCTGACATCTTGAATAAAAATCAGCCAATACTGAACTATGAGCAAACCTTTCAGCACATCGGAGATAAAACCTTATACTAGACCCCAAACAAAAAAGTGTCGCAAAATGAATACAGTTTCTTTAATATTTTAATATTTCCTTTTGTAAATATCACTGCTGCTCATATTTAATAATGAAGCATTATTTTTCAAATCTGGAAAAAAATGACTATGCATTGTTGAAGATCTTCTTTTTAGAAAATTTAAAACCAAAACAAATATTTAATTCGTTTTTATCTCTTAGAATTTGGGGCTAATTTGCAAGATTGGAAATAAATGCTAAAGATTACAAGCTATCGATAGTGAACAAGATATGCAATCAGTTGCCTCCCTTTAATGATTATTTTCCCTGTTAAACAGGAGAGAAATGTTAAACATCAAATACTATGTACAACAAAAAAATGCTCTCATTTCATGAGATTTCAACAAGTGTATATATGTTTTCTGTTAGTTAATTCAACAAATGTGAACAACTAATATTCTCTGCCTTTAACAGCATAATCTTAATAAGTGTGAAAAGTTGATCAAACAACAGTAAAGATGGGACTAAGATACATATAAACCTACAATGAAATGTACACATTACAGACAAATTACATAGAATTTTTTACATTTCTCTTCATTTTTACACAACATTTGTATACTTTTCATTTATTTCACAGAAAGAAATATGGACAGCACTGTCTTAAATATTTTTAAAAACAAACTTTCTTTCTTGGACAAAGAACAAGTTCCATTATATGACAGAAAGTGTGCATTATATACAAGTGACGTTAGATTTAATTTCAAGCCAGGTCATGTTCTACCGATGATTTGAGGAGTGGATCTACTTTTCCCCGCCTGGCATTAATTATAGTAACATAACAGCAACGGCAGTCACATGTCGGGGCACAACAATCGTAAATCGTAAAATAAAATTTACCATTTCGTAAACAAATGATGTCGGGGCACAACAATCGTAAATCGTAAAATAAAATTTACCATTCCGTAAACAAATGAAACATAACTACAAGCGAAACTTTAAACAACAAAGTGAAGACACAGAATGGTGAAAATGAAATGATTGGTTCATACATCCAATACTTAACAAATCATGTTTACAACACCAAAGTCATTCATAGGGAAATCACGAAATGCTTCATGATCAGAGAGACTCAATTAAATGGTCATGCTGAGCTGTTATGGTAAACGACTTTTACACACAATCTACCAAAGTCTGAATGATCATAATCAGTCTCACAAATTCACTACTAAACAGCAATTTAATTAAAATCAAGCAAACTGATGTATCAATGGCAATAAGCCTGTCCTAGTACTGGGCATGTCAATGACTTTTTTTCTTTCAAGAAAATAAAAGAAAATATGATTCATAATGGTTTCAAGTACTGTGGTTCATAAACAGCAACATTTTTTTTTACAAAATTCTCTACTGTTAAAAAATATTATGCCAATTTCAAATGACTCATAATACCAAGTATTTGAATGAATTTTGATATATTTCTAAGAAACAAATGTATGGGCAAATAATCCATTATGAAATTCCACTACCTTGTTTCACAGACTTAAATCATAGTCTGTTAACAAAATCCCATTTCTGAATTCACACTGCTTGAAATGTTGATGGTTATTGCAAACTTTTAAAAGTAATGACTACAAAATGCTTAAAAACATCATTTTAACAGTTATCTCAATTCTTGTGTCAAGCTATAATCTGTGAAAAAGTTTATTTTGAATTCACTAAATTACTGGTAGTATTGTATACATTTGTATAGCCAATATTAACAGGACAATTCAAAGTTTCAAAACAAAAACATGCAACTTGAAAATATAGACTTTTTTTCTACTCAAAGAAGAATAAAGAGAAAGTGTCAACACACTATATTGATGTGGAGAAGCAACGATAAAAACTCTTGACAGATACGATAAACATACAAAAACAATCAAAATCATGGTAATCCGTGTTTGTACTGGAAACCACAATTATAGACTAGATAAATAAAATAGGCATTCAAGTGAGGTTACAAATATATCTCTTTATAAAAGGAGGGGCATAAGCTTAAGGCATAAGCAGGCAATTACATGTACAGAGAAACAAGGGGACACAGTAGGGTATATGTAAGGTAACACGGTCAAATACAGGGCTTAGTAAGTAAGTGATAACCAGAGCCTTTTTTCGTTTATCGCGTTCCAAACGGTTGAACCTGCTGGACCAGAGTTGTTCGTTTCAGAATTAAAGTCGGACCCAGTAATCTGATGCTACTTACAGGTGAGACTTGACAAAGCCTTGTGCCTTGCAAGGCTTTGTCAAGGCATAAACATTTGCAGGTCTGCCAGGATTTATACCCAAAAATGTTACATTTAAAAACAGACGTACCGTTTGTTACGCATAAACGAACAGGCCCAGGTTATAAAACATGTAAATTTTAAGGGTTTATCAAAGGGAGATAATAAGTATAAATAGCTTTCCTGTTTCTAAATTAAAATAATTGGTCAACCTGCCTAGATCCCAAAATGCAAACTTCTTAGATCGCTAATAAAAAATAGCTGGCCAATCTGCCTAGGTCCTAAATACAGTAGCCAGCTGGCCAATAAAGTTATTAAACCAATTTCACTTTACTTCTTTACAGCTGATGGACAATAAATAATTCTATTAAAACACTATCAAAATATACCTTAATATTTGTTGTATCTTAATAACATCGTATTTACAAAATATTCTATGGTCTGGCGATTGGTTCAACACAAAATCTCCACCTATTTGTTTTTCCTGTCACATCTGAATTTTTCATCTTTTAAATTTCCTAAAAAGCCAAAAAAAATCAATGAGAAATACCCTGTGGACTATAACGGGACAAGTCTTCATCAGTGAAAAGGATAAAATTTCTGAAATACTGAAACCTATTGAAAAACTCACTTTTACATGAATTATGTAGGTTAATTATTGAGCGAGACATTTTAGAGCACAAGTATGAAGTTTATTATTAAAATAGAACACTTTTACCCTGGAATCTTCCTGAAGATGTACGTCCAGGGTGAAAGGATCCCAAAGTATACACTTAAATGCTGAGGAAACCTCACACTGGCTCAGGTGTACCAGTATTTATGTGTAAATCTGCAATAACACAAATGCAGAACAAAAACATTTAACAAGTAAGGTTGATAGGAAACAAAGCAAACCTCATATTGGCACATGTATCAGATTTTCTAAATCCTACAGAAATATACCTAAACAAAAACATGACACATGTGTCAAACGGAAATACCAGAACCAACCAAGTGTGTTACAAACAGTTCACATACATGATTCACCATGTATATAAGTGTTACACATTCACGTTAATTCTCAATCCACCGAGTACACGTAACACTATCAGCACGCTGTTGTTGGTATGTGGAGATGCTGTAAGGAGGCCATGGTTTCTGTCGACACACCAGGCGTACCCAGTAACACTGTGTGGGCTGCCGATGCCTCAAACGACGCTGCATCAGCGGCAGAAAGAGTACTGTTGAGGAGCCCCTGGCCGGCCATCTGCGAGTTGTACTCGGCTGTTTCCATACGCAGGATGTATGGAATGATACTGTCTATCTGAACGTTGCCAATGAGGCCAGCGAAGAACAACTCCTCCATGACCCCAGGACTGAGGGCGTGGAGAGGGGGCAGGCGAAGCATCAGCTTGCCCATACGGTCCATGTTGTTAGGCTGGACCTGCTGCAGGTGTTGACTTAATTCACGTTGTACCTGGTCTTGGATGCGCTCGATTTGTGATGAGTTTGTCAAGGAGGGATTGTCTAAAAGCAAACAGGTTTTTGATTTATTAAAAACTGCTGTAACCATGGCATGCTATTCATCATTTTTGAACCAGCTATTGCTATCTCAATATATATAGGTCGACATTAAAGTATGTGAACATTCAACTGGCTATTCTTTTGAAGTCATCCATCTTTTTCAAAAGTTAGTGAGAACATTGTCTATCTTAAAGTTCTATTCTCATCAATAAAACAGCATCAGGCATGTCACCAGTTTCTCAGGGTCTGTCTCTGGTTCACATTACATAAAACAACTACTGAGTACTGGATTGGCATGTGTCACTGAATTGAAAATTGAAGCACAGAAAATTGATTAAATTTGCAACCAATAAACAACTTCATTTGCTGCTTACCAAAGGGGCAGAATGCCTTCAGTATGTTAAGACTTGTTTTCAAAAATAGTGACAGCCCTGAAAAAAGCCGACTGCTACTTAGTTATATGACTGGTTATGATAGTAAAGACCTGATAGTAACCGCCTTGCGGTAGGCATACATTTGCTCAGTCACATGTGACTGGTGACAATAACTTACCTGGAGAGAAGAGCATGAGAGCCTTGAGGTAGGCATACTCCTGCTCAGTCATCTGTGACTGGTGACAATAACTTACCTGGAGAGAAGAGCATGAGAGCCTTGAGGNTTGGAGAGAAGAGCATGGGAGCCTTGAGGTAGGCATACTCCTGCTCAGTCACCTGTGACTGGTGATAATAACTTACCTGGAGAGAAGAGCATGAGAGCCTTGAGGTAGGCATAGTCCTGCTCAGTCATCTGTGACTGGTCACAATAACTTACTTGGAGAGAAGAGCATGGGAGCCTTGAGGTAGGCATACTCCTTCTCAGTCATCTGTGACTGGTGACAATAACTTACCTGGAGAGAAGAGCATGGGCGCCTTGAGGTAGGCATACTCCTGCTCAGTCATCTGTGACTGGTGACAATAACTTACCTGGAGAGAAGAGCATGGGCGCCTTGAGGTAGGCATACTCCTGCTCAGTCACCTGTGACTGGTGACAATAACTTACCTGGAGAGAAGAGCATGAGAGCCTTGAGATAGGCATACTCCTGCTCAGTCACCTGTAGCGTGTGCATGGAATGGATGTAGTTCTGCAGCTTCAAAATGTGATCAATTACTGTTTTCACACGCTCTGCCGAGTTCTTATCTACAACAGGTAAGAATTACAGGTGAGACAGTTTTTTGTGTCTTCTGTCTCACTAAGTGCTAAAACCATCAAAGTTCATATTTTCCTGTTAGCTGTAGAGAATACAAAAACACAACTCCAGTATCATTCTCCTCATTTTAGTGTTAAAAAGCAATTTTGTATAACCTGTGTTAGAATTATAAATCTTCTTAAAATGAAAAAAATTGTGCAAACTAGCGTGTGCCTGACCGTACCCACCATGATCTTTATGTAACAGTAACCTTGACCTTAGAACATTCTAAACCTCTTTAACATCTACACATCTACACATCGGATGTATCATCATGTCAAATTTCAAAAATATTAGTCTTTTGGATTCTGAGATTATTCTGAGATAATCTCCGGAAATGAAGACAGATGGACGGACACCATGATTACTATATGGCACCTGCAATCCTGATGTGGGGCCCCTAATGAAAAACATGAGTAATATGTAGATTGATATTGCTCCATACAGAAATTTCTGGTAGTTAAAATTGTTCATTTTTTTTTTACTAATGTATAACAACAAATATTGGACTTGCATAGAAAGATTGTGAATTGCTTTCCTATAATGGTAAAGTTTGACCTGTACAGAAGGAAACTATCCTCAGAGTTACAATCAATGGATGGACGTCTTTATAATAGGTTCTCCTTGTCCATTAGTTTTTTTTGTAGAAATAGCTCCAAAAAATATCCTCCTCATCATATTTGCTGCATGCAATTGATATAGGTCCCTGACTGATCAAAAGTTATATCTTTGAAACATTATCGGTTTTCTTGTATATACTGGATGCTTCAGAGAGTTAACTTGTAGTTAGAGTTTATAAATACTTTAATTTACAGTTAAGTACGCTAAAGACCATTCTGTTAATGCTGAATCACCAATTTCAATTTGTTTACATTAGGTAGCCTAGTAGCAGTAGGACACAGGTCTCGTGATCGAAGGGTTGTGGGTTCGAGTCACGGCATGGCACTGTGTTGTATCTTTAAGCAAAATACTTTAATCCACTTGTCAATGAGTACGTGGTTGGGCAGTGCTAGTATTGTAGAATGCTAGCTGTGAGCGCCGAAATTGCAGCAATGTCTGTATGCTTCCTAGGGAGTTGAGAAAGATATTGGCTGGTTGCAAATTAAAGGCCCTATAATAACAAATTATAATTTGCGAACCGCTTTGAGACGACCTACGAACTAGGTTGTGATAAAGCGGTATATAAGAAACTCAAATTATTATCATTGTTATTATAATTATTATTACATTTATTTGTAACAATAAATGAGTCAGTTGACAGTTCAGGCCTAGAGATCTTCGTTGCAAAATATGTAAAAAGGGAGACAACTCATTGTTTGACGTACCCTGTTGCAATGCAGTCTGTAAGTGGTTGAGTATAGCCATGAGAATGGTAGATAGGGACATGTTGTTGGCACACTGGGCCAGACCCAGGGTAAACAGTTCACTCCAGCACGACTTCACAAGTATGGTCTGTATGTCTTGGCTGAAACAGAGAACAGGAATATTGAATACATACATCAAAACACCTATTGTTAGCTATTAAGATATAGAACATATTACAGAGCAAAGACAGGAGCTAAGTGTTTCATGTATATGTATGTAGCATAGGGAAAATCCATCTCAAAGGCCTGCAAAGCACAGTTATTATCTAGTCTGCCGAAAGATCACATGATTATTAACTCCAATCCTGCAGATGGCAGATGCAATTGTGTCCTTAAACAAGGAACTTTGCCCTTGTTGATTTACTCGACCTGTCAGGAGTGAAGTATAATACATACAGATAATATAATGGTCTGGGCTAGTTATATGATGTTATGCTTCTGCGCTGTAGCAATAAAGTGATACGGCACTATAAATGAGCTGTAAGAATTATGGGCCATAACAAGCAGACCACCTATACAATCTCCAGGACATACACATGAACCCTCATATATGCAGTGGTAAACAAAGGGATGACATGGTAAGCTGTGCTTGAGTAAGGTGCTTGAGTAAGGTTGCTCCCACAGTCCCTTGAATATATCTATGTCTGTTATGCATTAGAATATTTCCACAAGATAGGATCGTGTTCATAACAAATATTGTATATTTATAACAAATTCTACTATGTTTGCAATGTGTGTCACTTTTTATTGGTTAATAACCATGGATTATTGGACGATAGACCAAAAATAATAAAACAAAAAACACAAAAAAACAAAATGGAAAAAATAACAGCTCAGGACACAAGCAGCCTTCATTAATTATTTTTTTCCAATATTTTCTCGATTTCATTATAATATTCCACCATAATACATTGATTCTTTCTAAAATAATGGGACCTCTGTCTATAATGTGATAGAAATAAAAACATTTCTATTTTATTTACTTTTTACTTTTAACAACAATCATGACTCTATTATCTTTTTTGTTTTTTCTTCGTATTAATTTGGTAGGAACCCTCACCTGAGTATCTGGAAGGCTGGAATGGAGCGAGTCCAGTGCATGGACAGAAAGAGAAGTCTGGACGCACTCTCACAGATGTAGTGGACGTTAAGGTATGCTGGCATGGGAGATGGAGTGGTCAGCATGAACTGGTAGTTCTGGCTAGTCAGAATTGGACCTGTTCATAGGAGAATTCTAAAGAATGAATTTGATGAAGTGAAGTCATGGGTGTAAGGCCTGCATCAGTGACATGGTATGATATATAGTAATGGCCAGTATCATATAGGAAGGGCCAGTATCACTGAACAGGATATAAAGGCGTTATGGGTAATTTTTGGCTTCATAAAAAGTAAAAATTTCAACTTGAATTTATCTGCCAGTTTCTGTTATAAACATCATATTGGTTAATTGGGGTTATCTTATTTGATGTAAAAAAAATCAATGCACATGCATACCCTACCTTAGCAACGATACTGGGTTGCTATGCAGAAATAGCCAAAATGTGGTGTTTTTGGCATGCAGAAATGAAAGCCTCTGCATGTGACAAACAAAAAACCCTTCCTATGAACGAACACTGGTATGACAATGTTTAAGCATGTCAAATATTTATTTGTTTGCTGCATGTGGAGGCTTTCAAAACTTGAAGAGTGTTTAGTTTATATGCTTCAAAATGGCCAATTTTCAACATAAATAGTGCACAACAGACGATATTCACACTTCTTATTGTGAAAATGTGGTTTTATGTCTCTCTTTGTAATGCCATATCTCCTAAACCAGTTGTCAAATGAATTTGAAATTTCATATTTGCGTACTTCATTCATTCCAAATTAGGAATAAAACAACTAATTCTAAATCCTCGATGAAGCTTGAAATGACACTTAACTCCTCTAGTCCTTTGTAAATATAAGAATAGAGAGTCAAACGGCTGGACATTTTCATCTCTGTAAGTAATAATTTCAATACCGATATGTATCCTTCTTTCTGCCCTAGGATGCTAAATATAAAAATAAGTTACAGTAATACAGACTTATTGGTAACCAGAGAAAACGTCCCGATTAACATGTCTTGACAAACTATTTTTTCTGTATATAAATACATGTGACTGCAGACAGTTGACTCACCATCAATATCTAACACGACTGGGTCCCGATTGTAATCGGCAGAGGCAGAGGTGTCCATGCTGAGACCTGATTGGTCCATACTGCTGTCACACATAGCAGAATTATCCATCTGAAATGAATGTAACAAACCTGAGTTATCCATCTGAAAAAGTATAATGATAAAAGAATTATTCATAAAACAAGAGAAGAAAGCGAAGAAATGACACCTAGTTCAGCCTTTGTGTGTTAGTAAAGCTATGAAGGTAATATACCACTTCACTACACACAATATCAGCTACCAGGTAGACAAGGACAGTGGGGCCTTCCCAGAAACCCCCTAATCCAGCCACCACTATTCCAGTTTATCACTACACACAATATAAGCTACCAGGTAGAACAGGACAGTGGAGCCTTCCCAGATCCCCACTAATCCAGCCACCACTATTCCAGTTTTTCACTACACACAATATAAGCTACCAGGAAGACCAGGACAGTGGAGCCTTCCCAGAACCCCCCTAATCCAGCCACCACTATTCCAGTTCATCACTACACACAATATAAGCTACCAGGCAGACCAGTACAGTGCAGCCTTCCCAGATTCCCCCTAATCCAGCCACCACTATTCCAGTTCATCACTACACACAATATAAGCTACCAGGAAGACCAGGACAGTGGAGCCTTCCCAGATCCCCCCCTAATCCAGCCTCCACTATTCCAGTTTATCACTCCACACAATATCAGCTACCAGGTAGACCCGGACAGTGGAGCCTTCCCAGATCCCCCCTAAACCAGCCACCACTATTCCAGTTCATCACTACACACAATATAAGCTACCAGGCAGACCAGTACAGTGCAGCCTTCCCAGATTCCCCCTAATCCAGCCACCACTATTCCAGTTTTTCACTACACACAATATAAGCTACCAGGTAGCCCAGGACAGTGGGGCCTTCCCAGACCCCCCCTAATCCAGCCACCACTATTCCAGTTTATATTTTATCACTACACACAATATCAGCTACCAGGTAGAAAAGGACAGTGGGGCCTTCCCAGAAACCCCCTAATCCAGCCACCGCTATTCCAGTTTATCACTACACACAATATCAGCTACCAGGTAGAAAAGGACAGTGGGGCCTTCCCAGAAACCCCCTAATCCATCCACCACTATTCCAGTTTATCACTACACACAATATCAGCTACCAGGTAGAAAAGGACAGTGGGGCCTTCCCAGAAACCCCCTAATCCATCCACCACTATTCCAGTTTATCACTACATACAATATAAGCTACCAGGTAGACCAGGACAGTGGGGCCTTCCCAGATCCCCCCTAATCCAGCCCCCACTATTCCAGTTTATCACTACACAACATATCAGCTACCAGGTAGACCAGGACAGTGCAGCCTTCCCAGATCCCCCCTAATCCAGCCACCACTATGCCAGTTTATCACTACACACAATATAAGCTACCAGGAAGACCAGGACAGTGGAGCCTTCCCAGATCCCCACTAATCCAGCCACCACTATTCCAGTTTATATTTTATCACTACACACAATATCAGCTACCAGGTAGAAAAGGACAGTGGGGCCTTCCCAGAAACCCCCTAATCCATCCACCACTATTCCAGTTTATCACTACATACAATATAAGCTACCAGGTAGACCAGGACAGTGGAGTCTTCCCAGATCCCCCCTAATCCAGCCAACCCTATTCCAGTTTATCACTACACACAATATCAGCTACCAGGTAGACCAGTACAGTGGAACCTTCCCAGATCCCCCCTAAACTAACCACCACTATTCCAGTTTATCACTATACACCTAGAGTTTAAACGGAGACCCAGGTGAAAGGTTATCTACTATGAACAAAGGTGGCTAGATTATCTACGGAGAAGGAAGTTAGCTAGATTATCTACTAAGAACGAAGGTGAATAGATTATCTACTGGAAATAAAAGTGTCAAGATTATCTACTGCAGAGGAAGGTTGCTAGGTTATCTACTGGAAATAAAAGTGTCAAGATTATCTACTGCAGTGGAAGGTTGCTAGGTTATATCATCTACTGGGAGTAAAGATGACCAAATTCTCTTTTTGGAATAACTGTGGCTGGATTATCTACTGGGAATAACTGTGGCTGGGACTGAATTATCTACTGGGAATAACTGTGGCTGGGTTATCTACTGGGAATAAATGTGACTGGATTTTCTACTGGGAATAACTGTGACTTGATTATCTACTAGGAATAACTGTGGCTGGATTATCTACTGGGAATAACTGTGGCTGGATTATCTACTGGGAATAACTGTGGCTGTGACTGAATTATCTACTGGGAATAACTGTGGCTGGATTATCTACTGGGAATAACTGTGGCTGGATTATCTACTGGGAATAACTGTGGCTGGATTATCTACTGGGAATAACTGTGACTGGATTTTCTACTGGGAATAACTGTGACTTGATTATCTACTAGGAATAACTGTGACTGGATTATCTACTGGGAATAACCGTGGCTGGATTATCTACTGGGAATAACCGTGGCTGGATTATCTACTGGAAATAATTGTGGCTGGATTATCTACTGGGAATAAC